GGGGAAGGGGAAAGGGGTGCGAGGTGACCTTCGAAAGGAGAGTGTAGTGGAACGACTGAAGGGGAAAGGGGGGAGGGGGGAGTAGCGGGGTTGCCGATGCGGTGATCAAGTGGGAGGAAGGGGTGGGAGAAGAAATCCCCCCTTCCCTCCCCGGTTCCAGGAGACCGCTCTGGATCCGCCTATGAACCTGATGAAGTATAACTTCCACCTAAACATCATTTAAGCTGACGTGTTGGCAGGCAGCGGTAGTCCCCAAACGAATTCCGATAGTCCGATTCCAAAAGCAGCAAAATCAATTGCGCCGAATTCATTTCGATGATAAATTCGTAGTACACATGTCAACAAAAATGAAAAGTAGCAGAATTTAATTAACAGGCTCCATTCAAAAGTTATAACAGCAGCTCCCAGGCGCTGTAAAATTCTTTGCTTTCCATAAAACCCCGTTAAAATTACCAAAAGCGTCGTACCGACGAGGTCCAGTTTGAGGAGTTGCGGAAAATGTATATGAATTAATGGACCGAAACATTTCTTTTTGGTTATTCAAATATCCTGCTTTTTCATTTTCATGCTTTGCGGTGCATTATTTTAACTTGAATAATTGTAACTAACAACACTGTTGTCATCGTCATTATTGTTTTTACGAATAATCATTATTGTTATCATCTATATTATTATTATTACTACTGTTGTTACTATTACCAGCGTCTTACTATTACTGTAACTACTATTATTATTACTGCTACTACTACTACTGCTATTGTTACTACTACTACTATTATTATCACTGTTATTATTATTATTACTACTACTACTATTATTATTATTATTATTATTATTATTATTATCATTATTATTATTATTATCATTATTTATTACTATTTTTATCATAGTTGCTATTACTGCTTTTATTGTTACTGTTTTTATTACTATTATTGTTATTACTATTACTAATATTATTACTACTGTTATTACTAACATTATTACTATTATTATTACTATTCCACACTGTTGTTATTGTGAAGAGTTTGTTTTTGATTACGATTATTACTATTTTATAGTGTCTCTATTGTGACTGATCAAAACAAGTGAACTACAGCTACACGTTTCGAGACGGTGCTTCCAAATTTCAGCTTCCTATCTTTCGTAACTGAGTCACAGGGAAACATCGGTAAATACCTACTTTTTAACTTGTGAAAAAATAGCATTAAAACAAACCGCAACTTGGACTGAGTGGTAGATGTGCGAGAGCGGCGAGCAGCAGAGCGGCCACTGGATCGGCTGGCTCATGCTCCTCCAGCACGTCGCTTAAAAAGCCCAGAAGTGGCCCACGCCAGAGCAGCTTCGCATCGGACCCAACGGTGAGGCGCGCTACGTCAAAGAGATCCGGAATTTCAGCTTCCTCCATTACATTCGCAGGCGATGCATGCCATTCACACCCAATTGTTTCACGTGATTGCTCATATAAAAACAGCTGAAACTGGGAAACCAATACACTCTCTGTAATGGACAAGCCGATTGTAGCATCCAGGTTGACCTTGAATGCCAAAATGTGAAAGACGTGTAACAATTCTTACACCTCACTAAATTATATTGTTAACACAGTCATCGTACTGACGAGGTCCAACTGTGGTAACGGTAAGAAATGTATACGACTTAATGGACCGAAACATT